TTTTTCAGGGGCGGGCCGGATTGGACAGACCAACGGGCCGGATGTGGCCCATGGGCCGTAGTTTGCCCACCCCTGTTCTAAAGTCTTTATAAGCCATTCTCACTTAACATGGAAAAATCTAAAATGGCGCAATGTTTGGGAGAAGTTAGTTTGAAGCAGTGGAAAGAGCTGAGCTCTTTCATAAGAGATCCTAAGATGGAGTCCTCCTTTTGGCTCTATCCCTCCTGCTCAGCCCAACCCACCTGACAGGTTTCCTGTAGTCATGGGGAAGAGGGAGCATCCTGTACTGTCTCTTGAGTTGTAGGAAATATTTTATTTGGATTTAGAAGCCACTCAATTCCAAGGGACAATGAAGCTGCATATTAAATACAGCAAATGAATACATGTGGCTTGCCCTTGGAGGACCAAATTACCTGCTTACCATTAACCACCTCCCCCTGCAAGCACACCTGTGAAGAAATGTTTTCCAATCACAGGGGAATTGGGCCTGAGTCCACTGCAAATACAATTCTACAAAGTGATCCCAATGACAAGGCTGCAATTTAAGCGGATAGTCTCCCTTCCACTACGCCATGCTGGGAATCTTTGCATCTTGGAAGTTTTGGACTATTAGGACTGCAATTCTACAGGTGAGGAAGTTGTGGAGCATTCTTCCGCCAAATGATTCTCCCGTTAAACCCAGAACTGCACCCTGTGGACCTTCTCCTGCTCCCTGGGCCAAGTGAGGCAGGATGGCAGTTTAGCCGCAACGAAGGCCTTCCCAGTCTGCTACCACCACAGTCGTGACTCCAGGCGCGCACAGTCAGATATTAAAACAGGAGGGAGAGAGAAGGAGGGGCGTCAAAAGGCTTCTTACTTACCCGAGTTGGGGGCTTTGCCGTGAGCAGTTAAAGACAGAGCCTTTAGGTAGCAGCTCAGCCGTATGGCGCACACAGTGTGAAAGCTGGGGGTTAGCGTCCGGCATGCGACTGTTTGTTTGCACAAAAGTAGAGAGAACACCCATACAGAGCCCAACCCACACAACTGGCCCACACTTCTAGAGTGAGAAACTCCAGGAAGGTTAGTTTTTCAAAAACAACAACAGAAAATTGTAAACAAGGATGGTAGTTATTCTGAATAGTAAATAAACACAAAACAAAACAACAGGGACACATCATCATGCTCAATGCAGAGGCTTCTGCTAGTTTTGGTGTTTTGGATGTGCAGTTCTGTCTGCTCCACCCATTGCCTTGAAACCTGAACAGTCCCTCTGCCCACCCACCCCAGGGTTGGAGGTCTTCCATAAGCAGAAATGTTTAAGAGGTTCCATGCAACCATGAAGCACCCAAACCAAACTCCAGGATTTCGTTCTTATTCCCATGTGAAATTGAAAAATACCCCTTGGATTCCTCTCCCTCCCTCCATTTCCCCAGAACCAATGACAACGTGTTCCGCATCAGGCATCCAGAATTATAAAGGGATGCTGGTTCCTTAAGTGGGGTCACTGCGAACAGGAAGAAATAGGTTGGCTTTCGTAGGCTGGAACAAAAGAGAATTTGGCAAAGGAATCCCAAATTCAGTGGTTACAACATTTGGCAGAAGAGCCCTCTGGTGATTTGGTGATTTTCTGATGGCATCTGCTGCCATTTAAAACAGCACCCCTTTTTCTGCAGGGGGTATGCCCAAGTAAAAATCTGACATTTATCCATCTGGCTGATTTGGTTTGCAATGCTCCAAAGTAGAGGGATCCTGCAAGCATTAAAAACACAGTTCCACACACAGATATACAGGTTGCATTGGACACGTGAATATCACATTTATATACAATGATATACAGATATATTCAGATAGGACTTGTGAACAAAGCAGTAACAAAGATGGGATGGATGCTCAGACAATTGGCCAAGGGTATCAGAAAAGAGGCACCAAGTAGCAGAAGGCTGCAGAAGAACAGGACGGAAGGAAGAAATGCATTGACCATTTTCTATCATTGACACCTTTATGACTGGAGAGCATCATAGGCTGTGAATTGGCCGTGTATAGAGTCTTTCCATGCACCAACCGAGGGAAGAGAAACATTCTTTCTCCTTGCTCTTTTGGGATTACAAGTATAAATCCTATTTCAGCCAAGTCCTTAACCCTGCTTTGCAGGTCATCTGGCTTATTTCTGTAACTTTCACCTTTTGTTCTACCCCAGCACCTTCACTGTCTCTTCATCTGCTAAGGGCTCCTTGGGTAGCTCCCATAGGTTTTGGTCTCTCACTCAGGTGTCTATCGGCTTCTTTTCTTGCAGAAGCAGCCAAATGCAGGAGAGGGACTGATAGTAAGATAGAAGCAGACCTGGACATTTCCTACCTTGTGTTTTTTGATATAAGCCATACTTATTTTCAAAGGATGAATGGTGATAAGGTGAGATGCCAACCTTGATAGGCCTTTCATAACTTCCCAAGAGAAATGTTACTGGAGGAAGCACAAAACTAAACATCCTCCCTGAGAAAGAAAGAAAAAGAAAGAAAGAAAGAAAGAAAGAAAGAAAGAAAGAAAGAAAGA